TTTTTATCAAACTGTTAATTAAGACTAACTTGGCATCTTAATGGAAGTCCATAAGTATGTACTGTATATATTTTTTGTTAGGTACACAGTTGAACATTTAAAGTAGACTCTAATTTTAAGTGTAATAGAACAACGTTTACAGTTAAGGTAAATGACGGTGTTTAACAAGAAATCTCTAACATAACTGGTAGTTAGGCAGTAACTTCTTATTATAGAATCCCAAATTGCAGCTTTCAATCGATTTATAATCTTATTCTGTCACTTCTACAGATGCAACTTTTATAGTTTTATAATCTTTAACCAATTGTCAAAGTTATTCTTATGCACAGCCTATGGTCATCATTTAAATACAATTAAAATAAGCACAATAGATTATTGTAAGAATCTTTTTGCTCACTGTTAAGCTGTAGAAAATGGATATGCAATGAGGTACTTATTATACTACTATAATGTAGTAATTAATTTGTAAAACCTAGAGCATTTAGATAGTAAGAGATAATATGTTTTCCTCTTACAATACTAATAGCACCATTCCATCATCCATTATGAACAAAGAATATGTGTGCAACATATTCCTTGTTCATAATGGATGATGGAATGGTGCTTCCTTCTACACTACGTTAGCGGAATAAAATGACAAAGTAGAAGTTAGCAGAAGATGATAAAATGAAAATTACTCCAGGCCAGTTGACCCAATGATTTCATGTGGAAACTGCGTGTAGGTCAACTTGATAGGATATATAGCAATGGAGTCAATTGGAGGAATTAGTACTGGGTCGGATCTCCTAAAATGTCACCACAAAGTTTGCAAATTTTGCTTGATTCATGTATAGGGTTCATTTGCAATCACAATATGCAAAAAATATATTGTATATGGTAAATGCGAGTAGAAAACGTGACATTCGTAACAGTGTTGGCATAAATAATTAAATCTCTTTTTACATAAATCTGACCTGAAATATTTTATTATGTTTAAAATTTTCTTATAATTTAGTTTATACATAATTTATATTTATATATTTAAATATCATTTTATAACTTACACGATACCAATTTAAGTATACAACGGTATTGTTTAAAACACTTGCTATTGCTTCTACCTACTAAACGTAGGGCTGGTGGCAAAATTATTACGTTTATAAGCAGCAAAATATATCTTATATCGACAAATGATTTTGACTTTGACATTAATAGATATATTTTTGGAAATTACCCAAATTATTCATGAAACTATATATACAATCTGCTTTATCTATACTGATTAAATGACGAGGTATAGGAAGGTGGCTGGAATTACTTGCTATAGAGGCATAATACCTTCGTTCTTATGAATGAAGTAATGAGTACCACAGTTATGGAGCTGTTTATGTATTTTTTTATACCATGTATGTAGGTGGCATACAGCCCATCTGATGGTAAACGGTTACCGTAACCTATGGATGCCTGAAACATCAGGTGTCACTTAAGAAACCTTAATATTCCCTTCTTGAAAAACCCCAGTAGTCTCTCGAGTAAACCTCGGCAGGTCTAGGTCTAGGTATAAGCAACATTGTTTCACATTTTAAACTATATTGTGCTCAACTATATGCGCTTTTTATATACAACCCATATCCGTCAAAGATGTATGCCAATATATTTAAACAAATGTATACCAAAATATACATAAAATATGCTTACTTTAAATATCACGCTTATCTATTTGATCTGTTTTAATATTCAATTGTATCAAATGCGGCATTTCATTGCCAAAACATTCACCGGTGCTACCGTCGCGTCGGAGACAACGTTTTGCATTGATTTCGAAAACTAGAGCATTTATCTACTCATTCTGAAATATAAAGGAATGCGGTTTACAAATATTGTAACAAATCTCAATCTTCTATTGTAAGAACATAAGTATCAAATTTGACTAACTGATATTAGACATTGTTTAATATCTGTAGTTATGATTTCGTACTTCATAGTAAGAGAATTCACATATACTTAGGTTAATTACAGACTTATAATAAAATTACTTCGACTTTTCTAGGCATTGTTTTTGTTTAACAGGCTTCCGAATCAGACAGTAGAATCTTAAAAAAATATAATTAATAATTTTGAATATTCGTTATTCATTTGGCGAACAAATTATTAACCGTTCACAGATAGATATCTTTGACATCGTCATAATTACATATATTAATGGGTTAAAAAATACAGGTACAGTCGCTGGTTACAGATATTTTTAAATAACCACGCGATTTATTTTACTGTAAATTATTTTTGCTTATATGCTGTTTCTAAATTACATACATTGAAATTGTACTCATTTTTTATTAGGTACTCGACTCGAGGTTCATGTAGAAAAAATCTATTTAAATTCAAAATTCACTATTATTTTTTGGACTGGAGCTTGATAATTCGTATTAATTTATTTTAACTTTTGAATTTATTACGTTCCGTTGAATGTTGAAGTAATTACTGAATTCTCCAAATATGTTGTATGTCCGTTGTATTAATTCTGAATCAATTTAAGATACATACGACAAGATATTTTAAATACATTCATTTGAAATATCTGTCGTTGGATCTTAAGTTTTATAAAAATATCGTAAATCATATTAAGTCATATCATAGTAAGAAAAATGTCAATGAACAAATCGCCCTTTAACCATAGAATTTGAGAAGCTAACTACCTAAAAACATTAATATACAAAAGGTATTTCACATATTATCAACATTTTGTTATTATAAAAAGTAAGTACAACAGCTATGTAATAAGAAACCAACAAATGTCTGAAGTTTGAAGAGTTTTACATTAAAACTGGATCGAATTCGATAATTCCATCTTACACGTGTTACAACCTCGAAATCTAACCTAAACGGTAACGTACAACAACGCCACCTAAAAATCAAATTAGAGAAATTGTTCCTACTAAAACGATATATATGGATCCTGTCGTCCACCGTGGGTTGCTCGGTGTCACCTATTTCAACCACCAAGCAACTTGCTTTGTAAGCTGTGTTTCAGTTATAAGCTGAGAAAAGGTGGTGAAATTACAGGGTAAAATGCCTTTTATGCCATGCCATACCGGAGGATATTATACCTAATATCCTCTGGTATGGTATCACACAATAACGTGATGCCCATAGCGCTGTTCATTGATACCTATAGGCGACGGACGCTACCCCAGAACACCAATATCCTAAATACTTACTCTCAGTGGACTTTCAGCTGCCATTCCAAATAAATTTAAAAAATAACTAGTACCGTCATCAATTGCAATTTGATTCATAAAAAATGTAGATATATTTGGCTCAAATAAGAATAAGGTCTAGTTGTAAAACATAAATTAGCGGGTCATCTAATGTAGAATTTAAGTAGTGAGCCTTCGATTTATTAGATACTTTCACATATCTACTAATTAGAATTATTCTTATTTAAACTTCTTATTGGAAATATTATATACAGTAGCTACCTGCCCACGTTTTAATATCACTATATTATATTTATTGCCTATAACCATTCATTTTATTTTCGATAACACTACTGATAAAACATTTTTTCCACTTTGTCAAATCTGCTATATTAGGTAACTGAAAAAGAAAAGTGTAATAAGAATTATATTAAAAATTCTCTATGTTAAAATTAAGCCGATACTCGTTTTCTTATATTCGTATAATTCTGTTACACAGGATAGCGCTACGTATAATAGAATTTACAAGGACTAGTAGCGACATCTATTGTAGAGTGGCTGAAATTATTTTAAGTACTACAACAAACCTCAAATTACTTTGATGTTTTTCATAGGATTGATATAACTTATAATGAAAGTAAATTTAATATTATGTTACGATTTTGTAAAAAGAATCTAAAAGCGATAGTGACGGAAAATTGAAGTAACAAAATAAACCGAGATATGACGGGCTCTGTCTCTCATCGTTAGTTCACTGTACCTGATATAACGCTTTAATAGGTAGGTATTTTTGAAACCATGTATGAGACCATGAATTTACTACGTTTTCGTCTTTCGCATAAATTGTTTCAACTTTTATATTTATATTGTACGGTCTCGTTATCAGTGTTGTATAAAAGTTTAACATTTATTTTTTCCACTTAGTTTCTATCTGAGAGTGATTCCGTTGTGTATTTTACATGGCTTTTGGTTTAGACCATATAACCGTGAATTAATGTTCCCATTGCTATTTGCGGGCCTCAGTGGTCTATAGGATTAGAAATCCTATCTATCTATCTTTATTTACAATGGTCGCCGATTCGATTATTTGCATAGTGCAAACATTTGTATTCCTGAATATGATTATATGTATTGGTCTGTCGGGTGTTTTCTATGTATATTATTATAATAATAAGCTAATCAGAGGTTGTATTATGGGTACGAACCTACTGATACAAATATTTATATATATATTTTTGTCAATACATACATAAAAACACCCAGACCGATAGAAACAATCATACTTATGAATGCAAACGTTTGTACCGTGCGAGGAATAGAGCCCGCGACCATCGGAAGTAAAATGGTGTGTTAAAACCGTTAAAGCAACAAGGCAGACACTTTAAGCACATTAAAAATACTAGTAGGTATACACATATGTTTCAGATAGAAATAGAATATTTTTATTCGTACCTAGTATCCACTGTCGAACTTGAAATTCCCGATGTATTAGGTTCAATTCTTTTTAATTAGTTATAACTTCTTTACACTTCATTTATGCTCTCGGAAGATTCAATTTATATGATAGATAGATATAGGCAGACACCAACAAATATTTTATTGTTTTAAATTTGGTTATAATTGTTATATGATATAATCTCTAATATAATAGATGGCAAACAAAATATATTTTTAAATAACGTAATATTACAACTTGATAAAGATTAGAAGATTTTTTTTCTCTAAATACTTGAAATACCTACTCGATACAGTGCAATACAAACATTACATTTAGATAGGTTACTTCATATTATAACTTACTTATATTTGATTTCATTGTTACAGGTGAAAGTTCGGGATCGTGTTCAGAAGAAGATATAAACAATATCACCGACGATGTTCGAGACCGGCCTGAGGCGCATATGTGTCCGCGCTGCCAGGAACAGTTCGAAAATCTTCACGAGTTCCTGTACCACAAGCGGCTCTGTGATGAGAAAGCACTTCAGATGGGCGAAGAGAGAATGCACTCTGACCCAGAGGATATGGTCGTTTCGGGAGACGAAGAAATGGATGGCCCTAATAAACGCTTAGAGCAAGTGAGGCGGCATCGACAAGATGCTGAAAACAATAATAGCCTCGAAGATGGTGAGGCAGAAGTGCCTGAAGCCGATGTGCCGCCGGTCGGACTCCCATTTCCCGTAACCGGTCATGTAACTCTTGAAGCTCTACAAAACACGAAAGTAGCTGTAGCTCAATTTGCTGCGACCGCAATGGCAAATAATGCTGATAATGAGGCAGCGTTACATGAACTAGCCGTGTTACAAAGTACACTATTCACACTGCAGCATCAACAAGTATTTCAGCTGCAGTTAATAAGACAACTACAAAATCAACTTTCGCTAACGCGACGGAAAGATGACCAACTTCATAGCCCACCACCGAGTGAACCAGAGCCTAATGCACCTACGCCCACCGCTCGAACACCGTCGCCGCCTCGTCCGCCACGGGAGCCAACTCCTGCAGCTCCAATTCCTCCTACTAGCCAAAGCTTGCCCTCTACCCACTCACATATAACTCCTAAATCTGAACCAATTTCCATTCCAAAAATTCCAAATTCATCACCACCAATGATGTCCCACCCTCCCTATAGCTCCATATCATCCTCGTTAGCATCTTCTATTATAACAAATAACGATCCGCCGCCGTCTCTCAACGAACCAAATACACTCGAAATGCTACAGAAACGAGCGCAGGAGGTACTAGACAATGCATCACAAGGTTTATTAGCAAATAACCTTGCTGATGAGCTCGCATTCCGTAAATCAGGCAAGATGTCACCCTATGATGGAAAATCTGGAGGAAGAAATGAACCGTTTTTCAAACATCGCTGCCGGTACTGCGGAAAAGTTTTTGGAAGTGATTCGGCGCTGCAAATCCACATTCGATCACACACAGGTGAAAGACCGTTCAAATGTAATGTATGTGGATCTCGTTTCACTACCAAAGGAAATCTTAAAGTTCATTTCCAAAGACACACAGCCAAGTTTCCACATGTGAAGATGAATCCCAATCCTATACCAGAACATTTGGATAAATATCATCCACCGCTACTAGCACAGTTGTCGCCGGGACCCATTCCCGGTATGCCACCTCATCCATTACAATTCCCTCCTGGTGGGCCAGCTCCTTTTCCACCAAGCCTGCCACTGTACAGGCCACCACATCACGATTTATTACCTCCTCGCCCACTAGGAGATAAACCTCTTCCACCTCATCCGCTGTTTGCGATGCGAGAAGAACAAGATGTTCCAGCTGATCTCAGTAAGCCCTCGGCGCCGAGCCCATCACGTTCCGCACCTGACATGTTTAAGTCCGAGCCGCAAGATGAAGAGAGCCAACGAGATTCTAGTTTCGAAGAAACAGATCGAGTAACACCTAAACGAGAACCTGATGAAAATGACCCTGTACAAGATACAGAACAGGATAGATACCCATCAACATCTCCTTACGACGACTGCAGCATGGACTCCAAATACAGCAATGAAGACCAAATTGGGAGAGAAAGTCCACAACTGAAGCCTGACCCTGACCAACCGGAAAATCTCTCAAGTAAGAATTCACCGATATCTGGACCAATTTCAATAGCAACGGGGCTTCGTACTTTTCCTACATTCCCATTATTTCCTCATTCTCCACCCAGCAGTATTTCCTCCGGTAGTTTAACACCTTTCCACAACATCACCCACAATGTAGTTGACGTTGATATCGCGCGGGACCCTGTTTTTTATAATTCATTGCTGCCCCGACCCGGTAGTAATGATAATTCGTGGGAAAGTTTAATTGAAATTACTAAAACCTCAGAAACATCTAAATTACAACAGCTAGTTGACAATATTGATAATAAATTATCAGATCCAAATGAATGTATAGTATGTCACCGTGTTCTTTCATGTAAAAGTGCATTACAAATGCATTATAGAACACATACAGGCGAAAGACCTTTCCGATGCAAATTATGCGGTCGCGCTTTTACAACCAAAGGTAATTTAAAAACACATATGGGCGTTCATCGCATAAAACCTCCGACGCAAATGCTACATCAATGTCCAGTTTGTCACAAGAAATTTGCTGACCCTAGTCTATTACATCAACATATACGACTTCATACTGGTGAACGTATGACAATTCCATACGATCAAATACGTAATATTGAAATAAACGGTTTTCATTCTTTAAGCAATGAATCAGACGTCAACGACTACTCTCCTTACCCGTCTATCCTTCCTCCAATGTTTCCAACTCCATCCACTCCCGGCGACCGACGGGCGGACTCCCGCGGGACCGACGATGAGAGCGGCCGGGACGAGCGCGAGCCCGCAATTCGGGAGTTCGACGACGACTCTGATATGAAGGATCGTCGAACTTCGCCGCTCTCCGTCTGCGCCTCGGCGTCCGAATGCGAAGTAAAAACCATCACCACAACGGCTTCCCTCCCATCGGCGACAGGTTCGGAGAGCGGGCGGAGCGCGCGAGCCTCACCACCGTCGCCTACGATGTCGACGCTGTCGACACCGCCGAGACTGCCACCGCACTCGCCGCTGCCTTCGCCGCCTGCGCCGCTTGCGGCGCTCGGTGCTCTTGGAGGATCGCCCTTCAGCCCACTCGGACTCGCGTTCCCTCCCGCAGGTATGCGATAGCGGGATGTTATATTTTCGTCCGCCCCGGTCGCCCAATTTCCGTTCCTTTTGCTTAATCCTTAAACTGCCAACTAATCAACAATTATTTATTAACTGGGCGCTCGAATACACGCTGAATGTAACAGAAAAGTTATGTCTGCAAGATATTTTACAATCATCTAATCAATAACAGTGTAATCGTGCGTTCCGACTATACATTGGTGACATTGAGTTAGAATTGAACAGTGGATTTATTTGTGTGCAGTGCGCGGCAACACAACATGTAACATCTGCTACAAGACGTTCGCCTGCAACTCGGCACTGGAGATACATTACCGGAGTCATACCAAGGAACGGCCATTCAAGTGTACCGTCTGCGATCGTGGATTTTCAACAAAGGTTTGTTGTTTTTATTATTTATTGTTACTATACATATTCAATATATGTGAACCTATAAAGCTAAGGCATAACGACATATCTATTACCTACTATTATTACAGTATAAACTATAGGAATATTTTTAATGAATAGTTTCCCATATTGTACCCAGAAAAAAGTAAAAAAAAATACAATATCACTAAAATGATTATCATGTAATAGTGGCGTACATAGCTACGATTGAATACCTGGCATCTGGCCAGCTCATAGTTTATTGTTACACAAATAGCTGAGCATACGTGTTTACGACACATCCACTAATTTTCTCTACATCTACAAAAATCCCATTGACAATAAAACTTTTATCTATACCTCTAATACTAAAGTGTGAATGAGTAATAAAGAGTCCGCGTCCACTTTTGTTCAAGATAGAAGACATAACGAGCGAATAGCAAACGTTCGATGCGTCAGATAAACGAACATAATTTTAGTTAAGCGGAGACAAGTCTAGGAACAACGACAAAGTTTATGCGCCGGTTTCATTTCATCCAAGTTTCAGTGCATTAATTTTGCAAGCAGTAATTACAAGTCGCTAGTCGGTGCCACTGCTTCGCATTAGTTTTAGTCGTTGTCTTCTGGCGCATTCGAGCCTTTTGCCAAGTAAATAATTGACGAGCATTGTTTTAGGTTCATTTTCGTTAGCTTACAGGTTCATTTATTATAATTTAATCGAAACTACTAGTGTTTACAACATATTGATTTTGTACAATATATTGGTTGATTTTATTAATAAACAATTATCCATAGATAGGTTCCTGTTATGGGAGACAGGAAAACATTATTTATCTTCTAATCATTTTCTTTTATATGCATAAAACAGATTCGTATGCAGAAAACGTAGTTAGGAAATATCAATTGAAATTACAATTAACCAAATAAATATCTGTATTCTTATTACATTATTAGTGAATTTATTGTATACGAATATGCAATGTTTATAGGTAGTAAAATACGGGAAAGTAGATTTCCGCCCCGCAGCGCCGGCGCTCCCCATGGTTTCCATTACTCAGCGCTCTAGCGTCTTATTTAGTAATTTATGTGTCAGTTTTATCTTCCGAATTAGGTATTAAGCATAATAGTTGTCAATAATATTTATTATAACTTTTAGTATTAACACAAAAAAGGGAAGAGTAAAAACTTAGTTCATGTAAATATACTTAGATATAATGTACCTAATATAAACAAGCTTCTTGTGTAAATTAAATACTTAATCCTAATTTTTAGCTTGTTTATGTTATGTGTTATGTTTGTGTGGTTATTTTCTGACTAATCAATTCTAGTTTGAGAAAAGAATCTTTTAGTAATTATAGTAAGTTCCTTTTATTTATTATTTTAGAAATAGAGCGCACGGATTTGAATGTGGCTTTTTTGGAAACCTATTAAATTATTTAAATTCAAACATTTATTTTTAACAAAGTATTAGGTAGGTTTATATTCGCGCTCTATAATTCATGAGGTTAATAATGTATATAAATCAAGTAGACGAGAATCAGAAATATTAAACTATCGTCTGCGCATAATTTTACTTGGTGTAAAAACATGTATAACAGATGTAGATATATTATCATTTTGACGGGTAATGTTAGTACTTTGTTTCCCAAAAAATACCCTACAATATGTTGGCAAATAAAAGTTGAAACCAAATAAATGGAAGATAATTTGTTTAATAGGCTCTCAACCTTTAGTAGGTGTTTTAATTGATTCGATTTTCTACATACGCAATACAAATTAATTTAACTTTCACGACAGCCAAGGGTAAATATGATAAATAAGGCATTTATTATATTTTAAAACGTTTAAAAGCAGAGTATGCGTTTAAAGATTTAATTTGTTATATAAAATAATAAATAAAGGCTGTTAAAAGCATTTTTATAGCGATTCAAGTTTTATACTCAGATGGGCCAATATTTCAAGCATGTAAGTTGCGCTTGCGTCGCAGTCCATCGCGTCGCGCCACAAAAATGATAAGTCATAAAAACAACGTCACGGAAAACGATCGGAATATTAATTCATGTCGTAAAATATTTATTACATATAAATCCTTGAGCCTTTACCTACGCTTCTCGTCATAAAAAGATTATTTATGCTTGACAAAGTAACATTTTTCGTATGTTTCCGAAAGTGACCATGCACGGCTCTTATCAATAAAATATAGATTATTTACGGCGGCGCCGGACCTTTAATTTTAAAGTTGACTGTCCTACCATCTTGTACATTTTATTTAATTGAGTTCGACTGATAAATATGTTTACTTGTTTATTTTAATTAGTTACCTTCGTCCGCATGATGGGGTGTATTAATATCGGTTGACCAGAATAAAAGATGTCCAAAGACCCTCTTTATCCCAAATACTGGTTACCTGATGCGTTTATGTCTCTCATGATGATTAGGTGAGCCCAGTAGCGTAACCAAATCATATGAAGCCCGTGTGGCAAGTTGATTAAAACCCATTCTGTAAGAAGCTTGTGATTACTTAAATACATAAAATAATATTTTTTAGAAAATTAAATAGCCAATATTAGATTGGTCTTGTGCTTCCACCTGTATGAACGATATGCAGGGCAGATGGCACCAATGGATAAGGTTGAAATCGGGTCATTCATTCCAATAGACCATCGTAGCAAATATACTTGAATTAACCCTAATTGTATCCAGGGGTGCCCGGGTGGAGTGGGATGAATAGTGGTTGCTTTGCTGACCATGATGCCACTAGACCATTAGTAACAATATCCCTTCTCCTACAAGATCTCCTATAACCGGAACAAAAAGCTCTATTAGTTACAATTACAAATATACTTTACGGTCTATATACCTACCTACCAACACCTACTCGCAATTTCGTTAGTATTACAAAGATCAATAGTATAATAATACTCTAAAAACAACAATAACATACACAGAATAATCACAATCTAAACGCGATGCTATCAATTGGTACTCGTTTAGATTGTAATTATTGTGACCAAGAACCTTAGTCAAATAAGAGCCTAACGAGACGTGAGCATTGATTATTTATAATTATTCGATGGACTAATGAACTATATACTTATTATTCAATATTATTAATGTAGAATATTGTTACAAATAAATAAGCTTAATAATTTTAATTAGCACTTTATCTCTATTCAGATAAAAATTACAACGATGACACCGCGTCAAGTTCAAAACAGTATATAACATCATTGTTATATACTATTGGAATTTGTTAAGCTAAGTTGGTCATCCAAGTTAGCTTAGTCTATGTTAAAAGTAAAATGGCTGTAGTAGCTAATACATAATACTAAAAACAACTAACATGTCCTCAATGCAGACTATAATTCATGTCTTTATCCGACCCAAATCTACTATTTACGTAATAATAGGACAATTAGTTATGGATAGGCTGTTATAGCAACAAGCGGTAATAAACTAGTAGATAGACTTACCTATATGTACATTTTACTGCGACATGTTCTTATCTTCTTCATCACAAATACTTTGTAAAAAGGTAACCTATATCCGATCTCATTATACAATCTAACGTCACGTCAAACATTGATCCGTTCTTCTTCATTCCAAATGCTTTGTAAAAATATCTAACCTATATTCGAACGTTTTCCTGCAAAAAAGCAATACTTCGTTCAAAATTGCATTCAATTCTATGCGGTACTCATCTAATTTTTACGTGATCAGTATATACTTAATATATAGACTGTGAGAATTTTTAAAAAACTGTTGTAATTCATTTTCTGTAACAAAGACGCTTTCATATTTGTTTTTTTTATATCTATAATTACAGACATTGGTCTGTTGTAATTTTATATTACTTGTGTCTGTAGGTATGGATTAAAATTAAATTAAAAGAACTCGAAATACATTAAATATTGTAAGTAGATACCTAGCTCTATAGGTATTTGTGAGACTATATTGTGACGTTAGAACACAGCAACGCTACGTTATCCACACCGAGCAACATCGGTGGCTATTTTACAAGCACATTTAAAATTACAATAAGTGTCGCCAACACCCGTGGCGGCGAAAGTTCACGGGCCAAACAATTTTATCGATTATTCCTATCTTATACTTATACATAAGCCAGTTTATTGACTCTCCGAGAGCGTGTTCAAGTATATCTAGAAAAACCGTCTATCTTGACTAGATTTAAAGATAAAAAATTTCATGCACAATTATTGTTAGAATGGCAAAGTTTGTCAAATAATGGAAGTCTTTTTGATATACCTATAAAGAAGATAATAGTCGAGACGAGTTTTTGTTAAACACCACTGTGGCAACACAAAATGACTAAGGCGTGTCGTAGATTACGAATATTGACGAAAAAGTCGATTCTACAGAATCGGGGAACCTATACCTACTCTATATAGATAAGTCATAGAAGTGTAAGATAAAAGAATACAAGCATATGACATACTTTGTTGCTACCTCGAAGGGGTGAAGATTGATTGACCTATACTAATATGAAAGCGTATATTATACACCTGAGCACCAACACGATATAAACAAAATATACGTTTTTTAATAGTTTGATCATCAATTTCTCAAATGACTAGTCTCTATGACTAGGTTAGTCAGTTTTTTTTTTTGTGTGTGGTACCATTTAAGCAAACGTAAATAAGAAATAGATATTGCAGCAAATAATGTTTTCATTATTGAAATAAAGTGATAATGACTTGAAATTCGTTCCTCAGTTTAGTAGAGACGACGTGACGCTACGATATAGGTACAAAATCAAAAATAGATTCAAACTCATAAAACCTCATTTTTGACATCGGGATTAATAATAAATGAGCAAGTATAGATCCACAATCAAGTATATAACGTTAGATTTTTTTATAACATTCATTCACTTATATATTTTTGGATTTAAATAGTAACCATCAATGTAGACCTCTAGCGTATTTACATTTCATTGCACTATAATAAAGCTATCTGATTTTGACATTGCTTACATTAGTCAAGTTAGTGGACTTAGTTAATGGACTTTATATTAATATTAATGTTAGTGAACTTGCCACTCTAAAACAATTAAACCAAAAAGTTTAATTTATTAACGCTTTCATAATATATTCACTTAGCATGCTAGTAAATTCACATAGAAACCATAAATATCGGTATTATGGAAATTAAGTAGATTTATATGAAAATGTTAAAAATACATTGTGGCATTATAACGAATATGACCTGCTTCCTCTTGTGAGTAAATAAAAATATCATCGGCGCATATGAATCGCCTACTTAAATATCTATTGATTCACCGTATTATTTTTATTCATATTTTAATATAAATCACATATTTTATCGCAGTCTAAATAATTAATGTGGATCTGTAATGGTACATAAATATTCTAGTTATCCTCTAAACCATGGTACAAGATTATTCTTATGTATGTACACAAAAAATATATGTATGTACTTGTTAATAAAACTAAAAAAACAAACAACAGTAGTTAAGTGTGTATACGCATGTATTTATAATTAAATAATTCTTTAAATACTAACAGTGAAATATTGTTTAAACCGAAATATTCGATGTAGGTAGGTACATATAAACATAAAAAAAATATTTTACTTGATGTTTGCCTCTTCGTTTCCTGATCGAGTTGGGATTTCTAGAAACCTTTTGAATCCAAATTTCTAGTTCTAGCTATATTGGTTGCCCCTACCAAATGCAACGAGTATCTTAGTCTAAGTATCAAGTATAAGTCTAGATTATATGCATGATTTTAGTGTCACCCCTATGTTCCCCTTTAGTATGTGTGTGTTGTTATACATATATAGGGTTGCCATATATTTGTTTCACATCAATTGTATTTAAATATTTTTTTCTATTGTATTTGTTAATATATATGTAATAATTGTTATTGGAAGTGTACGTATTGCCGGCACCCTGTGTATGTGTAACGTTGCGTGTATTTGTGGTTCCAGAGCAGTGGCGGCGGTTGCCAGTGCGGTAGGCGCGCGCGCGCGACCCGCCCGCCGCACGCCACTGCTTTGGATTTCTGGAACGCCTTCGTCTACCCGGTATGAAAGAGCGACGCCTGAGCGAAACTCTGTTTTAATTATATTTTATCGAAATAGGTGTTGTTACTTTGTGAAATTCCATTTTACTTACTTATTGGATTTTAATTTTTTTTTTTTAATTCCGCTACAATCAGCATGTGTCAGTGCGCAAATTTGACTAAGACCGTCCCTAATGGTGATCAAATTGTGTGCCGTGTGGGTGTACTCAATAACGGGTCGGAATTTGATCACCATTAGAGAAGCTCGTAGTCAAGTCCCAGCACTTAATATTTGTTGTCTTACACATGGTAACTGGAGGAATTAAACGAAATAAATGAAATCCATTAAATAGATCTATTTTTATTACCTAACAAAATTATTCTCTAAAAAATCCTATACTACCTAAAATACACATTTTCAATTAACACTTGATTTGAAACCCTGATTGAACTAGCTTTTAAACTTTGAGCTCGATAAAGATAAAGAGTACATCTACTTTATATATTTACATAATCTATAAATGTGAGTTATGAAACTTTCGCATTTAATCCCACAAAATGTATAAACATTTCGTTAAGTGTTTAATTAATAGTCAATCATATACTTACGTAGATGAATATTTCAATATAAGCAGGTACTACGTCAAAGTCATTATGTACAAAGTCGAAGAGTTAATAAAATAATTAATTATGAAATATAATAATACATATTGTTCTCGAGTTTATCTTATTCAGTAGATTACTTAAATTATGACATTTAGTAAAAAATCAAGTTAAATTTTTGCTTAATTTAACTTCATTTTTATATAACGTAGTGAGAGCATAATTTTTAATTAGTGGCTTTATGTCATTGGAGCCATAATATTGCATCTTTAAAACAGTTCCTTATGCAAACCATTATAAATAGTTACATAAATATAACAACAATCAAAATGTACTTTAATTATATACAACAATATCAAACAAATCATTGCGGCGGCCTAAATCTACTTAGGTACTTTTTAATTACTTAGAATAAACGAGATATTCTCATTTTAATGTAAAAAAAATAAAATTTGACAACAATCTATCTCCACACCAGTCCCTTACAGGTTAGGCAGAAAGTAGCCTGATCTCTAATAAAACATTAGACCAAGCTAAAACGTGGACAACGAAACATGAAAATAAACATACTACATTTATTAACAGGGTAATATGAAGCAACATATGCTGACACACAAGATTCGGGATATGCCTCCCGGTTTCGACAAGAATTCGAGCGGATTGACCGGGGGCTCGAGCGAGGACGGTCGGGATGGAAGCCCGGACCGGCGCTCCTCACCCGACAAGATGGACCTGAAGCGGTCGCCGCCCGCGCACCCGCCGCCGCCCATGCCGCATGCACCACCGATCGACATGCCGCCACTGCCGAAACGACCTACTGGTAAGTTTTTAATGTCTAATGAGTAACTTTGCAATCCGGGAGTAGAAAATTTGCTTACAACTTACCTATATTTGTATTATAAAAAACAAAAGTAATAGCTATAATAAACAACACAAACATAATATATATATAAAATAATTATATATTCGACACTATGTGTTGTATCCCATTCTCAACACAAGTTTGGCTCTACTCTCGGACAAACAGATGTATCTAGTCAATAAAAAAATGTGATCACGTCAGTATTAGGGTATTTTTATGTGGTTGATGATGGAATGACTATTCTGCCTAAGATAATAATAAAGATGAAGTAAGCAAGCAAAAGATGGGATAAATGCAATTTATCACAAGACATACAGCAAAGGGATTGTCAATGTTTCTAACAATTGCTTACCTCGGACCATGTTTTCTATATAGGCACGAAGTATAGTATAGAAATTGAGACGTTACTTTTGTTGTTTTAAATTCCATATGTTAAGTCCCATATTAGATAATTTAATTAATTAAATTATGTATCTAATCTGTTTGCCAGACAATTACTTGCATACAGCAACACAATTAACATTTAAGAAGCACATCCAACACTATATAGTACAAGAAACTCCAAACTATGTTAAAGAGTAAGAAAAGTGTCTCTGTACCATAAGAGGTAGTAACGAATGTTAAGGAAAACCATAAAATGTATTTTGATATATAGAATTATACGTATTTATAAAAGAAAATCACTGACGTGAAATAGGATTGGAATGATTAAAAAAATATTTCTCTTTTTGCCATATTACATGACATAATTTAATAATATTTACTTTTACTTCCCGACATAATTATCACTAGTCTGATTCCTATATTGCGACAATTTTCTGAAAATACTTAATCTTAACTCATAATTAGTATTACAAAACTACTACAGCAAAAATTCAAATATTAAGACACAAGTATATTACAAAAAGGTAGACCTTAACATTCATTTCCTGATGCGCAGTGCCCAGTGCTCCATCGCACCCTCCACCACCGACTTCATCCAAACATTTATGCGGGGTGTGCCGTAAGAATTTCTCGTCATCATCAGCTCTCCAGATCCACATGCGCACTCACACTGGGGACAAGCCGTTCCGATGTGCTGTCTGCCAAAAAGCCTTCACCACAAAAGGGAACTTAAAGGTAAAATAATTTAAACTTATTACTTCATATACTTCATATTTACATACTTATATCCTAGTAATAATATTAAAAATACTATATAGTCTATTCTATCGTAATACTACGTGAATGTCAAATATGAGATGGTTTAGCAGTGAAACCATAAAAAACAAACCAACTCACTTTCTCATTCCCAATAGATAATAAAAATAATAGCAGTCATACACTACAAATTATTTGGTTTCTTTGCCGCGTCACTCAATGACTGAAATAGCTAGATGGATTTTAAAGTAGATGTACAAATAATCCATAATAGAGAATCCTAGAGAACAAAAGAAATATACCTTATACTAATTCAAATAGGAAAAGAAAGCATAACTGTATATATACCTACTTAGTAGTGAACAGCAGTCGAGGAAATAAATTACTTTTATAGATAAATCTAAATTATATACACAGTCAAGTAATAATATTTATTAAATCAATTAAAAGACGAATTCGAGAATCTTGCATCATTTTACATTGATAGGTAAAAGTTACAAAATGGCGGAAAACAACCCTTTTCTTAATTTGCATTAAATACGTGTTTACACCAGGTGCATATGGGTACACATATGTGGAGCGGCGGCGCGTCGCGACGCGGACGGCGCATGTCTTTGGAGCTGCCTCCGCGGCCGTTACATGAACCCCACGAACTTCTGCGGAGGCCCGACCTCTTCTACCCGTACTTGCCTGCACCTTTCCTCAACGGCATGCAGCAAAAGGTAAATACCAATGCTATTGTAAATATAAATTTTAATTATATGGATTTATATATAGTGATAAGTTTGGTTCGCTAAACCTGTTTGGCATTCCTGATTTATCGATCATCCCAAAGGTTAACTGGTAGAGAATGACTCTAGCGTTAAGTTTGCCTTTTAATAAATAAATAAAACAGACACTGTTCACAAATCTTTGAAAGTTTCTTAAAAGCAGTTGCAAGTTGTTTCTTAATCATAAATTACATTAACCTCTTGAACTACAATAGACAAAATAATGTGTTAATGCCATTAAATTATTAAAACTAAGAAAAATAATTGTTGTTACAGCTCTTAGACATTAGGTATTAAAACATAGTTAGAAACGTTTAATTCTTAGTTTAAAATACTGATTTATATTTATGTACTGCTTAATATCATCTTAATACATAGGTATATGTATATAACATTTATATATATTGGAACGGTGTATACACCTGCAGAGGTTGATAGATTGAGCTTCAGGTTAGTGACAAATTAACCAGGAATTTATTATGATGGTTTCCGGGGAAAACTGCGTGGAAGTAAACCTGGCTCGGTGTATAGCTAGCAATGAAGTCATCCGTTCCCATTACTAACAACCCCCTTCCCCCCTATCTAGGTATATATATTATACTTACTTAGTTTTCTATTTTATCTTGTCCCTACAGCTGAACGAAATATCAGTAATACAGCAGAGTGCGGGACAGAACGGCGTAGCAGGGAAGTTCCCTGGATTATTAGGCTTCGGGGCGTTCGCTGGAGCAAGACCCGGTGCCGCATCTCCACTCGAGAGGCCGCCGTCCCTGGAAGGCGGTGATGAACGGCAAGCAGCTATGCGTGAGCTGGCTGAACGTGGGCGCGAACTCGCCGAGCGGAGCAGGCAGATGCGCGAAGAGAATGACTACCGCTCCCCGCCCGCCCACGCTTCGCATCCGCCACCGCCCACACAGCCGTCACCCCCAGCGCCCCACCACCAACACCCGCATCCCCTGGCCTCGTTACCGCCACCGGCGCGTACCGAAGGCCTCACCGTATAAACGGAATTGCATTATGAATAATCGAACACATTCCAAAAATTCTCGAATTGAACTGGTGGCCGTCGAAAAACTTCAACTTGAGACAGCGAGTGATATGCAACCGGATAGTGTCATGTCTATATTGTACAAAGAATTAGTAATAGGTAAACTTATATGAAAATAAGGGACTGATAAATTTACGACGAAATAAACGTCTGATATAGCATAATTATATGCAAAATGTAGTGCTATGTAACAAATTGTTATTCCACGTGTTATAACGCCTAGTATTACGATAAGTAACTTATATGCACGAGTACGGGCCTGGGGCAATCGGGGGCTCCACGCGAGCCCCACGTTTATGTCATTACTCTGTGATAGTGCACATTAGAGGCTGCGTCCTACGAACTGAAGCGAACGTTTTGGTAGTACTATCGGATAGGATACCTAATGTAGATGCAGCCGCATGTGCTATGACATCAAAAGTAAATATAAATTATCCCAAAAATTAATTAAAATCCTAAATATATATCTTTAAACTGTAAATAATTGTATAATAGCGATGAGCATAAAATATAGTTATATAATTATATTCAAGTGAAAATTTTGATTATTATCCTAAGTGATAATGGAGGGGCGATATGCATGATTTTTGTCTCCACATTCCAACCAATTGTATTCAAACATTTAAACCGTCAGGATTAGGAGATTTGTCAAAACATAAATGTATCGAATACCACACTAGATATACTTGTAATTGAGACCTACTTTAGGTCAAGACGAGGTGTTTAATAAACTTAAATACATTTAAGTATTAAAGGTTAATGACATACCAACCTATTCATATCATGTAAATTAAAAAAGTATTTGCATTTGAGGTCTACATAGTTATAAGTATTTAGAGTCATAGCTATTATATCGCTTTAGAATACTTCGACATATCGTTGTAAAAATGTGAGCGACAGATGTTATGAGAAAATGTAACTTCGTAAAGAGTAATAAGTACTATTGTAGAATGTCGCCAACACTCTAAGCAGACTGATCCACAGCCGTATCTATCCAATTGTATTAATATAGATATTTATTTCCAAATGTGCATTTCTCAATGCTTATGAATAGTAGTCTGATAGTCGATTTGATAATAAGTTTACGCGAAATTATGTTCACGAATTATGTGTTTTATATTTTCGATACTGTAGTAATTATATTATGTGTATAAATGTCCTATTAAATTATTTATAAATTTGAAATCATGCATACACTCTTAGTATTAAATGACGCTTGTAAGGCGCTAGGCCTCGTACAACAATTTAGTTGTCTAGAGTAAAATTTCATAGCACCTACAGTTATTGATTTTCAAGTTACAAATAGATGTAGAGAGTAGTATTAGTCATGAATATGATGTGTCATGTCATGTCAGTATAAATAATCATTGTAAATTATTAAATGTTTATGTAAATGTCCAAAAAGTATTCAAATTATTTAAAAAATGAAAAATCAATTATAACTAATTATTATTTTCTTTTTTGTTATCCTTACCCTGGAACTCCCTTTTTATTTTAACACTTTTTTTTAAACTAAATAATTAGATATATCTAGTACGCAGAAATGGTAACAGATGATTGTGATTATATATTCTGCATCATCGAGTACTGGGGAGGGAACAGCTAGAAATAGTCCTATTGGCCCCATTATCAGCAACGCACCCTGTCAGGTTGGTGCTCCACTCAAGAAACCGTAACGATTTATTCGTCACGATAAGTAGCATATTTTCATCCAGTGCCTCTTAACTTTCATTGGTGGCCCGCTAGCGATGGAACGCTATTATTGCAAACGAAATTACCACTTGGTTAAATTTAAAATAACAGAATGATAATAATAACTCTACTGACGATTCACACAGCGTTATCTAGTCTTAAGCTAAGCAGATCTTGTGTTGTGGTGTGGACAATGAATAGAAATACTTTTATTTTAAATACACACAATACACATACTAAACACCCAGACAAATTCAAACAATCAACAAATATATCGTGCAAGGAATCGAATCCGCGGCCATTGCAAGTAAAGTGGCGTACTAAAACGCCCGACTACCGACACCGTCAGCATGATCATACTGAGTTCCATTGAACACTTGATTGCTGAGCCTTGCACTAATATCACTTTTATTAATATTATCTGTGAAAATCGTCATTTTGGATTCTATCACAGATGAAACTCGCGATTCTTTTCATTAACTCACTGAATTACTTGGAGTGGAAGTGTAAAAGAAAGTATGTATATTCCATCAGCTTTCCATTCGGATTAAATAGTTTATAAAAAGATTATAAAGCCAAATTTTTCCATATTTTAACCTGGTGCGATTCCGTACCCATAGGGAATCGCACCAGGTTAAAATATGGAATAGGCATAGTTCCGTATGCCATAGGGCATATGTTAAGTCCATGAATATATCCATAATAGTAGTCCATAATATAGGTTTTTCGAAATCATGAATATAGCTAAAATTCCAAAGGAATGAAGTAAAATGTTAATAAAAGAAAAGATCTTAAGAAAGTTACATAGGCTTTGTCATAATATGGTGTTTTGTTATCATTACAGTAAGTGATGATATATGCTAGGACTATAATAATAGAAACTACCAATAATACACAGAGATTTTTATTAATTATTTCTATTTTAAATAAAAAAGTATTATTACAAACTGTTATATATTTAGCTCCCTAAAATATAATAGTAATAGAAATTGAAATGAGAGTTAAACTATTATGTCTCTAAGTACTTAGACAAACTAATATACTGTATTGAAAGTGTTAGAACTGTTTAAAGTAAGAGGCAGCTACCAGAACACATTATCCCCATTTCCACCCATATAGAAGTTATTATAGAAGTCATACACACATTGTGCATGACATTTGTATTTGTACTAATATTCTACACTTGTACCACACACATTTAGTGTACATTGAAGTGATACAACCTCTGTTACATGTAAAATCTTATACATTAACCATGGTGGAAATGGAATGTAAGCATGTAGCTACTAAAGTAGTGAATGAGTAAATCAGTCATTAAACCTACTGAATGTTGAAGTTAGAAATTGATGACGCTGGCCAGCTTCTTGACTCGGTTGAGCAACAAGTCGCCCTCGCGGATGGTGGCCTGGTACAACTGGGAACGGTCCGCGTCGGCACCACGACCCGCACCGGTCACTACGCAGCCTGCTACTGCGTCGATACGGCACTGTAGCCGCCCCGCTGCCGTGAAACTAAAAGCAAATAGCAATTTAAACTTAATTGACAAATATGATGTGATTTCTTCTGTAATTAGAATGTCAAACAAGCGGACGGCCTATTTGATTGTAAGTGATAACAGTCGCCTATATACATGATCACTACTATGATGTTATGCGCGCAGAAGATAAGAAGCCATGTGGTGCATGGCTTATGCTGTAGTTTCACTGCCATTTCTCATTCTTAATCTGAAACAACTTACAACATACTTAATTCCTTAAATTGCTGGCACTTAGCTACATAATTGTTACCAACTATACAGCTTAAGTTAATTTCATCATTTAACCTCAACCGAAAAGAATGAACTCTAAACTGTGTTTATGGAAAAATCCACCCACTATTGCACAACAGGGATCATCAAAAATAAGAAGACCACATGAAACTATACTTAAAAAAGTGACAGTTGCAGTTTATTTTAAAATATACACTTACGTGGATATTTCCTCTTCAACAAATTCCCGAGTTACACCAAAGGTATCGGCGATGTTGTCCAGGCTGAGCGAACGATAAGCGCGTAATAATTGAACATAAGCCTTGATACGCGCCTCACGCACATAATGCTGATAGTGAGGCCTAAATACGGGGTCCACACAGATTTGGGTCTCAACCTGAAAATCATTTTGCAGAACTTTAATAACCATAAAAATATTATTTCATATTCAATTTACATGTATTTACTAAATGAATATATTTTAATGGTTTGTTTTACTTTACTGTTTCATAAATAATATAATTGAAGTGTCACATACATTGTAGGTATATTGTATATAAAACAGTTGCCCTAGGTTTTTTTTAAATTTAAACTTTTTTTTACCGTTTTAACTCTTAACTTTTTTTAAATTAATATATGAAGAATTAAAAGTATGATCACAGTTAAAAAAAACTTATGCAATATAGCAAATTTCAGATGCCAATTACAGTTTTGTCATTGACCAAAAAAATTAAATATAAATAATATGATTTATGCTTAGTGCTTACCCAAGCAAGACTCTTCATAAAATCAGCATAACGACATTCATGCAGAGACTCAACCAGCTCTCTTAGTTCAGGAAATCTGGAACGTAGAGCCTGTACAGCGGCACCTTGCCGCCGAAGAGCTGCTTGCAAGGCATGGCGTTCCAATGCCAATGCACAAGCTAATACACAGTACTGAATGATAGTTCCTGAAAATTACAGGCAATATGTGAGAAACATACAAAATATTAGCAGCATATACAAATCAATCAAGGAATACAATTCATCAAATGTATCAAAGGTATCTTACCAAAGTCAACCAACTCGTAAGACTCAAAAGTGGACACACAATCAATGAAGAGCTCTGCAGCATGACTGTAATCTCTGACAGCTAAGCAATAAATCGCCTCATATGCCTTCAACTTATTTCTTGAACGCCAGTCTCCACCTTTGTCTACTAATTCATGAGCCTGGAAAGTATAAACAAAAATTAGTAATAAAATTCTGAATAATTCACACAATTTAGTCCAAGTTAACCAGAATTTGAATTACATGTGTACATAATATATATAAAAAATGCCCTGACAAAGCAGTCACGTTCATGAATACAAGTGTTTCCATCACAAGCGGAATCAAACACTCAATCATCAAAAAGTAAGGCAGCGCTAAACATATAAAGCACCAGGTTGCAAAACAATATTGTACCTGTTACCTGGTAATAGAAACAATATTACATACAATAGGGTGAACAGTAGATTTTATAATCTATCAACAGCCCAAAAAAAAAAAAGTATTGACATAAACAGGCTATGGTTCAAAAATGTATTCAAAATATGTACAATGTGATACCAATGGTACTTGTGTTGCCTAGAAAATTATACTGTCATATTTACTTATTTATTCATGAACAATGTACATTGTATTTGAATGTTGATATGATGGTTGATAAAATTAATAAATTTCTTCTTTCATATTCTTATACCAATAATTATATATTGAATCATGTACATAGCTTGGACATAAATTTAATGGCAATAAAAATATTGACACAATAATATCAAATATAAAATACTTTATAACATCCACTGGTAAAATGAATAAATAATTGATGACCTAAACTTATGAGCCCTTTATTAAAATGTATGTCAGCCAGTCAAGTCATGAAATGTATGATCCATGTGATAAGAAGATTCCCACAGATCAATAAAAGAAATGTTAATTAACAATCACCTTAGTAACAGCCTTTCCCATGTCTTTAACATTACAACCATGAAAGTAAGCAATCCTAAAGAGTGCAAATATTGCATCCAGCCTTCTATTAGTAGTCAATGTAGAATCCTCATACTTGGTAGTGGCTAATGTGATAGCAGCTTCTTTGTCACCGATTGAGCAAAGGTAGTCCAATCTGAAAATTATAATGTTTCATCTTTACATCATATGATATACAGTTGTTGTCTGTCTGTATTTTTACATCTTTTAAATTACACAATGGATTTTAATTCAGTATACAGTAATAGATAAGAGTCATGAGAAAGGTTTATATGTATAAATACATGCATATTATAATACAAAAAGTAAGCCAGGTCAGGTCAATAGTTGAATCATATTAAACAAACTCTCTTAACTTATTTATTTATTGTCTGTAGATTAATGGCAATTGACATTTCAATTTTTTAGTTTTATTTCATTGCATATAAAAAATGCAACAGAAACAAAAATATGTAACATGAACACGCAACAATGGGTAAGTTAAGAAATAATCTAACACATTGCCTATTCAACAAAGCAATTAAGGGAAATGTCAATTATGATTAATCTAATAACTTTTGCAGCAAATATATCTATGCTACAATACATTTATAGTAAACCAATGTAGTAAATGCTAAAATGTTAGCAGTTCTATCTACATCATACCACAGATGAGGCAGGCATAGATATAAATAATAAAAATTAGTAAAGAAATAATAGGTTTATAGTATTTTTTTGCTTATTTTAATACGTGTAAGCAAAAAACATACCTGTCTTGCCACACTGGAGTCTCAGAGTCATCCTCTTCAAACTTTGCTAACCTCTCTTGGTTTTGTTTTGCCATCTCATCATATAATTTTTGGTCCAATGGCCATCCAAGATCAGTACAGACTTCTTTATAATAAGGAGCCATATTTCCATTTTTAATTCCTTGGAGAAGTTCTTCTTTCAGCTGAACATTATCACTCAATTGTGGTAAAGAGAGTTTAAACTTAATACCTGCTAAAGCCATATATTCAGGTGTTTTACCCTCTGCAGAAAGCTCCATTTTGTTGTTTATAAATCAAATATTAAACAATGCAAGAAGAGTTATGTATATTTTATTCTATATGATAATTTATAAATGTGAAATATTCTTTATAAGCTGTAAATTTACTCAGCAGTTTTGGGTTTTGACATTTCTCTTTTTTTTTTTAGACGAAGGCAAAGACGTTTGATAGATCAACGACCGCGAACTGAATAAAGGAAAGAGACGGATGGACACAAGTCTTCCGCACCTCTCTATGGGCATCCAGGTTTAGGCCTCGAGGTGAGCCCACTGGAGCAATTTCACGAGCAACAACACCCGGGATCAATATTTAACCCCCTTGAGTGGATAATTATTTTTTTATGATAATAGTGTTCTGTGGCGATCACTGTCAAATGCTGGATGTTACTGTCAGCCAATGACAATGACATACCAGTCACTACTGTTGACAGATCACGAATGCTGTTCTATTTTAGTTTCTTTTTAATGTATTTGTTAAAAATTTATATTATTAAAATTATTATCATTCCTTAAGCTATTTCGTAAAATATAATTTATTAATTACAATATTTTTTGACATATATAGAACTAGTTTTAATAATCTATATAAATACAGAAAACTTGTTTGAAATACGTGTTTAATATTTAATCTTCTATTGAATAAAAAATGGTATGATTGTGTATTAATCATAGTAATATGACGACTCATTGTTTATATAGTTTTAACAATATTGATATTGCAGCATGGGCGAGTAAAAGTTCGATCAACAGAGGAAGAGAAGATTAGGAAGGAGAAAGAAAGACAAGAAAAATTAAAGATATTTAAACATGCTATGCAAAAAATTCAAGATAAGGTACATTTTATGGAGTTTATCAATAATAAAATCCTTATATTCTTATTAAAATTATTATTAATGATAAGTAACAATTAGATTTTTTAGAACAGCTTTTTCTTGCTCATTCTTATTGTGATGAGTCTGCATTTCAAATGAGTGGTAGAATAAGAAAATGTGACTATTCAAAAGTGCTTTTATTAAGTTTATTTGAATAAAAATGATTTCTATTTCTAGGGGAATGATGTTAATGATTTTAAAAAAATACAAATTTTATACAGTATTTATACAATTGTGCTAATACATGTATTTTACCACAATTGATATAAATAAAAGGTATTCAAATCAGAATTATATGTATATCTGTTTCTTACCCTAACAAATGTTTGTGTCTAAATTGATTACTTTGCAATATTGTAATTAATTTTGATACAAACATTTGTGAAAAAGATGTAAATCTACCTAAACAAATTACAGTGTGAAACATGTAAACCTGTTTGCAATATTTATTACAATAATTGTTGTGACATTTGTACTTTATCAGTTTAAATTTTTCAGCCTACCAAACAGTTTTCTATGTTTATTTTCCTGTACCTATAAATTTTGTATATTATGCAATAGAGCATTATACATGCTAATAATGCTCTATTGCAAAATTGATGTCTGTATATGTAAATTAAATATTTAGAGGAAAAATGAAGAACTGGACCAAGAGCTAATGGAACTGACTGGTAAGGTCCTTACAACAAACCCTGATATTTATACATTATGGAACATTAGAAGAGAGACTTTAAATGTTTTTAGGTACAGTATATTTACATTTGTCTAAACATTACCTATCTAAGAACCCTAAATAAAATTATAAAGGCAGACAATGATGGTGATCTGATAATGATTAACTAAGAAAATATAGATGTATGCTATATTACTTCATTACATTTTGTATGTATTAATATTATTGGTATCATATACAATTATCTTAATGGTTGATTAGTTTATTATATTTTTAAATAAGGAATCAGCAATCCTACTACAGTATTGCAGATTTCTTTTTTAAGTGGTTATTATTATTTATTATATTATAAATAGTTTATAACTGTTAGTGCCTTAGAAAAATGATATAGTGATTATTATTGCACTATCCTATATATCCTAGTTTGGCAATCAAAGTCAGGTAAGTTGTTAGCGAAGTTGTTTATTGACTTAATAGGTAATATTTAAATTTACAGAAAAAATATGGAAAGTAAGGAAGAAAACATGGTGGAATTGTATGATGCTGAGTTACAATTGACAGAGTACTGTTTGAAAATTAATCCAAAGTCCTATTGTGCCTGGCATCAAAGAGAATGGGTGCTATTGACAAGAACAAATCCTGACTGGGAAACAGAGTTATCTTTATGCAATAAATACCTGAAGTTAGATGAAAGAAATTGTTAGTATACATGGAATATTGACAAATTAGTTATAATGTTAATAATCTACAAGGTTTTAATGAGGAATAATTATGGAGAACACCTATTAATTAACATACAGAAATTAAATTCCTCTGGTTTTTCTATGAACTTTATTGGTATGTTCAGTGGGTTGTAATATTGACAAACAAATGTAATTTTGGCATATAATATTGACATAGTTCAGTGTATTTATACATACATTTTCTGCACCTTACACATTTAAAAATTTTGCGATTGTGATTTCAATTTATTTGTAACTGTTGTAAGGAAACAATGACTTTTATATGTATGTCAGTAACTTAAAATTATTTCCATACTACTAGAACCTTTGTTAACCTAGCATATAAAAGAATTCATTGTTACAAAATGACATTTACTTAGTTGAATAATTTCATTTTTTATTTATTCATTTAATTTGAATATCCATCCATATTATGTTAGTAAGCAACTTGTAAACTATTTTAGTAAATTACAATGTATATCCTTATGAAGTATCTTAAATATTATTTGTATATCAAATAATCCTACATTTCAGTTCACACTTGGGATTATAGACGATTTGTAGTCAGTCAATGCAAACCCTCTTTAAAAGAGGAATTTGATTTCACAACTGAGAAATTGATGGATAATTTCTCTAACTACTCTGCATGGCATTACAGAAGTAAAATATTGGTAGAATTACATCCCGATCTTGAAGGTAAGATGAGAAGATAATATTATACCTACACTGTCAAATCACTTCTAATAAATATATTTTAATGTCAAATTTATATAGTGTGTTAATCATAAAATGGAAAGCAAAGATAACATTTTTTTTTCGTAAAGATAGTTTTTCTATTCATGCAGTTTTATTTTATTTATCACTCACATCCCTATCATCCCCTGTGAAAACTTACAATAATCTCTACTTATACATTTTTTTATTTTGTTAATTTATTTTTAAATATAAACTTTAAACTATAAACTTTTGGTAAATTTAAATTGATTTATTATACATTATAGCTGGCCGACCAATTGAAGATGGACATCACAAACATGAGTTAAAAATGGTTGAGAGTGCTGCATTTACTGATCCAGATGATACAAGTGCTTGGTTTTATCAGAGATGGTTGTTAGGTAAGGTAATATTAACACATTTATTCTGATTTGCAAGTGAGTTAAGATGCTGGCTTTCTCTTTACTATGAAATAAAATCCTCATTTTCCAATAACATTTAGTCTTTGGCAGTATGTCTTTAACTGTCTCTATCGATAAATAACTAACAAAGATGCATGACCTTAGCCATCTGAAATTTCGATATCAGTTTGTATGACTGCTATTGCAGTTGTCACAATATTGTTATATTGTCCGCATTGCTATTTCTGTATATAAGCTATGATTACCTCTTAACATCAGGACCACCTGTTTGCTATTAATAACAAGCAGAGTAACTGTATAATTGCCCGGATTTATGAGCATCATTTTAAATACATACATTGTCATAATTTAAAATTCACAATGATAATGAATTATATATTACTAGCAGTAATAAAAAACGCAACTATGTTTATTTTCAGGTTTAAAATGGTTTACAATGTACGTTACGCCGTATTGGTCTCATCTTCTATTGTCGTGACTGTATTTTTATTGAACTAAGTTTCAAATTATAAATCTCTCATTTCAGGTGCTGTAAAAGTCACAGTCGACCTTGTAGTATGTACCGTTAGTCCTATAAAAACAACAGTGGCGTTTAACAAAAAAGTCTCCAAAGATTATGTTAAAAAAACAACCCATTTAATTATAAATAATGCATCTGTAAATGGAGAATGGTTATCCTGTACGGGAAATCAGTATGATAATGTGTGGATATATGATCATAATGAAATAATTCATGATAATTTGGATATAAAGGTAGAGGCATGTATTTTTTTTTAATTATTATTTTTTTAGTTTACAATTCTGTGTTAAAACTGAGTTTCATTTCCTAAACTATATTGTTGATGTTTTTATTGTACTTGTAGTCTTATAAATAAGAATACAAGAAACTGTGATATATCAATAACTGACTGAAAGTGTACTTTGTGTCTGCAAGTTTCTTATTTACTATTTTTAGGCATAGTTTGGGACAGTAACCACTATACCCAAACTTTAGGTATGTTTAATAAAACTTATTTAAAAAATTGTGTTCTAATTATTTTTCAGGTAGAATACACTAGAGACAATGACAATAAAATTATTATTGCATGTAATTTGCAAAAAAATACTGTGTACATTGGAAAAAGTAATATAGATTTTCAGAGAAAATATTCAGAACCGGTAATTGAGGAATTAAAGAAACAGCTTGATTCATGTCGTCAGCTACTGGCCATGGAACCAGATAACAAATGTAATTTATGGTTTTTAATTGAATAATTAATTTTTTAAGACAATCATCATCACCAATCACTTATTTTCTACTGATTTTATTTACAAACATCTTAAGCTTTTCTTTATGCAACTGGTATGGTAAACAAGTTGACGATCCACCGTGACCGTCGCCTTTCGTACAGCACCATGGACATTTCACGTGACTCCCATGACACCACTCATGCATTGTCATTCTGGAGGACTAAGATGTTATGCATGCCTCGATATCCTGTAATTTCATTGCCTTCTCTCACTGAAACCTAATGACAACTGTTAAGGAATACCTACTGTGTGTAAGACACGTTCCTTAGTATATTATGTATATCGCCTTCAGGCCCCAAAGAGCTAAATATTTCAAAATATAAAGTAAAAATACGAAATTAAATACATTTTTTTAAATGCTATCGACAAGATTACCTTTTACAACAACAATTTATAAAGCAAGGTCCTCACGCAGATGACTTTTTACACTAGATAATTATTATAGAATAATTATTATTATAACATACCAGTTTTATTTTAAATTAATACAGGAGCAGTTAATATAGAAATATACTTATTTTTATTTTCAGGGACTCTTTTGACTACAACGGTTCTTTTACATTGCATTAATGCAAAACATTATCATAATGAGGTTATTCAAAATTTAAAAACATTACAAAACAACGATAAAATGCGTGCAGGGTATTACAGTGACTTAATATCAAAATGGAGTATAGAAAATCAATTGCAAGATGATTATAAAAATGAAAGTGCAGAGTTTACAGTAAAGTTTTCAGAGAAAATATCGTCATTGCCACATCTCCATTATTATAGCTTTTGTGAGACTGTCAATTTATCTAATCAGAATTTAACATCACGGGTACTACCTACGTTGTCTGTGCTTCAACATTGTAAGGTAATGTATAGTTTTTAATTAAATTAATGTACAGTTTCTTACCTATTCAACTTCGTCTACCCAATCTAATATCTTTCCCATTTTTGCAAGAATTTTCATTGTGCCATAGCTCCTATTAGTAGTGTCGTGATGTTATGTAGCCTTCCTTGTTAAATGTATTATGTAAATCTAACAAAATTAGATCACTAGCATCGGAAATTATCGCGAAAAAAAAAACTCGCAAACTAGACCAAACGTTACACTTTATCTGCATTTTTCATATAAAATACGGCTATATCCATCCTCGTGATACAGTTTGTCTTTACATTTTTCATTAGAGATCAGAGTGGACACTTAACAAACAGATGTACAACTTTCGCTTTTATAATATTAGTATTGAACAACAGCATTAAGTAATTGTTATTAACTAAATAATCTATATAAAAAAATATATTATGTTCCAGAAATTGTCATTGGAAAATAACAATTTGACGACGTTGAAAGGATTTCCTCCTCTGAAACTTGTTCATTTAAATTTGAAAGGAAACGAAGCCTTGGATCTTAATGAAATAGAAGTGTTCAAGAAACAAAATAATTATGAAATTACGTTTTGATGACGTGCAGTGATATTTACTAGATAATATATTTATTTTATAGTATGTAAGTGTTAATTAAAACCACTGTTTGCCGGTTTCTGATATGAAATATATTCTATATTTATTGAAAAGAAAGTAAACAAATTAAAATGATTACAAAATGCATGCAGTTGTTACGCATTACCATTCCGATTACTAAGGTATCATCCCTCCGTCCCCTGTAATTTCACTGCAATGTACATTCCACCGAAACAGCTTACAAAACTAGCTTTCGCCTGTGAGACGCAGACAACTTCACTTGTCAACTACAGAGATTACATCCAATATCTGCTGAAGTTAATGGCATATAATCGGACAATGCTCTCTCGCCCCTTGATTAGTATGGTGATCAGGTAAAAACCTTACATAAGTGACAACTAGATATACGATGTCATAAGCGTAACTAGACACGAGTTAATCGGGTTATCGTGGTAGAAGAGTGTTACAAGTAGGATAAAAATATTCCTTGCCAAGTCGAAATTTGAAAATAGTATAATATAGAATATAATAATAAGTTTCTCCATACTTGTTTTATTAGTGGAATTTTATATTCTTCGGGAGTAAAAAAATAATATATTTATCAAATGGATACTTACTCAATTAGTGTATGTTTGCCTACAGACATGTCAATTTGAACAAGTCCAGAATCTACACAAACTAGTCGTGATATCTATATGATCTAACCACATTTACACACTAATTATGATATATTAAACTAGATTGCCGATTCGGTTTTGCACGGGTATTTATACAAAAATTTTGACATACATATTTTCATCTTTCGATATTGATTTCAATAAAAATAAGGTATAGAATATAAATTTAAAAATATTTTATCGCCTATATTCATCAGGGATTATGTACGGATTCTAAGTGTAAAAGAATTCTTCAAATCGTTCCAGTAGTTTCGGAGTCTGATTGTTTGTGCAACAAACGAACAATCAAATCTTACCTCTATGATAACACAGGTATATATCACTTTCTGTATCTTTTGTTATAAGTAGCTTAAGTTAGGGATTGTAATTAATTTCTATGTAAATAAAAGTTCTTAAATATAAGGAAGTATTTTTTTTATTTATTCTTAATTTGTACTATTTCATAGGTTCACCCCCTACCATATAGTAATATTTGTCAATTTACATATAGTATTATTAACAGTTTTTAAGAATTCGTCACCTTCCCAATATAGCTTTCCACAATCTTCACATACAAATACTGGCTTATTTGTTACTGATAAACTATTGACGTCAATAATTTGTATTGGCAAACCTTTACTGGTTTTACAAAGGGATTGGTGTGTATGTTTAACTGGTTGTATATGATACATGTCATCATCATAGTCTGAATCACTTAGAAAGTTATCATAATTAGTTTCCTCATCATCATAATCATCAGTCACATATCTAGGACCAGGTGTGTCTGCATTTGTGAATGATTTATAGCTATTACACAACTGTAAAACTTCTTTGGAATCAATTTTCTTTACATCTTTACTATTGCATTCAATACAACATGTTAATAAATTATTTTGTACAACTCTAATGTTATAACTATTTAATACTTTATCTAATTGGTCTTTAATGGAGGTAGACATGCCTACATCCAGTATAGAACTTTGTGGAAAATTAAGAGAAGGTGAACACTTTAACTTAACAAGTAAAATTAAACGATCTTCAGATATAGCTAATTTGACTGTATCACACCACAGCATAGTAGATTCAATTGTTACTGTGTCTATACCACAATATCTTAAGTAAGGCATTAAGTTAGATAGTTTAATATCAATTAAAAATTTTACATCCTTAACTGATTTTGTTTGACTATTATTTACACATGGTTGAAATCTTTCAATTATTTTAAGTCTCTTAGAATTCTTTGTCTTTTTTTCTGACATTATATTGTTACAAATTTCATCAAAATTAATGCCCTGTTTTTGACACAACTTTTGCAGCAATTCATAAATTTCTATAAGAACATGAGCATCTAGTGCTGCATACATAATTTGTGTCTCTCTTAAAGGTCGTAGTTCCCAATTAGAGCATTGTTCTGATTTTTCAAGAGGTAAACCAAAACATAATTGCACTAAGGAACTAAGACTGTTGCCTCCAGATTCATTATTACAAGGAAAAATGAAACCTATATTCAATAAGTGTTTCCAAAGCAAGCCTAAATCTAATAAACCTTCACCTCTCACTTTTATATTACCAAGACCATTAACTGAACATTTCAATTCTTTTAAATCTTGCTCTAGTCCAAATCCTAACTTAACTATCTCTGCATTATCTAAGAATGACTTATGAAATGTGTACCAGAAACTGGTATATTGCTGGTTATTTAATAACAAAGCATCTACCAAGTAGACATTATGCTGAGTTGCAATCTGTACTAATGCAACTTGTGACTGTGTGGCACCAAATGATGGCTTCCACTCACAGTCTACACTCACTACACTGCAGGTAGCTAATGTAGAAACCATCAAATCATAAAACTTTTCTGCTGTGTCTATCATTATAATTTGATCAGAAGGCAATGAAAACTTGTAATAATTTTGAGCAGGATCTACCTCAGTGTCCCAGTTCTCTTCTGGTGTATCTTGCAGGGAGACATTTCTAAGAGCTAAAGGTAAATGATTTTCTGTTAAATTGAGGTACTTTGCCCATTTTAGTGCTTCATTTCTATCATAGTCTATTAACATGTCTATAAATTCATGAGCAGATTCAACATTTTGTTTTAATGAGTCCTTTACCAGATCTTCCCAAACTGATAAGCTCACATTATGTTCCTGATACTTCTGATGTATTAAGTACTTCAGTCCACCTGTTGTACGGTTTTTACTAAGATTTTTACAGGTTTCTATAGGGATATTATATTTATTGCACAGTCGCCCTACTAGCTTGCCTAAAGGTTTATAATGGAGTTTTTCATATTTGACATGGCATATTTTATTTTCATCTATATATTGCTGTATAAAATCACGAGTCCCAAAGTTTTTGTCCAGTAATTTATCTAGAAATACTAGGAGAGGTTGCACTTGATTTGGGCATTCAGAAAGATATTCATCTATTACACAAGTCTTGTCTTGTAATATCAAAGGAAACAAAAGATTTTCAACTGGAATGTCATCAAACAATTCCATTGCTATAACTATCTGTGATGCTTGCTTACAATTGTCATTCTTTATCATATCATTTACGAAAGGTAAAATGTCTTCTTTGATTGTAGCCATTTGATATGTTTTTGCTATCAAATTCAAAAAGTGTTGATTTCTTTGATAAATGGCGAAATGAAAAGCAGGTAGTTTTATTGATTGCTCTGGAACAGATCCACTGTGTGAAGACCATTTCTGAAGTGTTTCAATGATATAAAAAGGCAGTGACTTCGGTTTACAGTCTTTACATTCTCCACATTTTATAACAAAAACCAAGGCTACACGGTAAGGATCGGGAACTGACTGGAAAAATATTTCTATATTTTTCTCTATTGTTGTGCTTTTCTTCCACAGCCTGTAAGCATCTTTCAGTTGCTCAAACCAGACAACACTGTTTACATCCAAATCCACATTTAATCCAATGCTTCGTAAGGACTCCTCAATAGATGGAACTATTTTAATTGATTGATTCTTGCTGACAAGTTCATTTAAATTCATTTTGCACGTTATTGCAATAGAGGCTCTAGGTACTCTACGTACCTGTATACGTAATTATTTCACAATTAGACGTATCTGCTAATATAATGAAGGGAATACCTCTGTTATTATGTTAAACTTAACATTTAATGCCATTTAAGTCACGTCAGTTTCTGTGTTATTGATATATATTTATACATTACTGTAAAGAATTGAATTCTAAAGAATATAATTATAATAAGCAGAAAGTGGCAGAAACTAAATATATGATATATATACGTATCTCATAGATAAATAATAATCCATGTACAGCACAGATCAGAAAGACTGGTGGACAGCTACCATAGACCACAGCACAGATCAGGAGCAGATTATCAATCTTACCACTCTTAGTGGTTGCATGGACGATGATATTTTTGTTTTTTGTGTGTTACACACAGTTTGCTGTTCCAACTTTCCTTCCAACTTCTTTTTAAGGTACCATACCTTAAAAAGATACTTGTAAATAAAACGCAGGACAGTCCTCTTTTCTCAAACATACATACGCTACTGAGAATATCGGTGCCTCTACAGTAAGTAGCTATGACGTGGTCTAGTGTTTTGAGTAGTCATGCTCACTAAAATGTCCAGATTTGTGGCGGCGTGGTGGGCCGGGTCATTGGGCTCCCTAAAATATGGTCGAGCGCAGTGATGGCTGACTCATCCGTCATACTCGTGAACGGGTACTGCTTGTAGGGACTGGCCTGCTCTAATCACTATAACTGATTTCCTCTTATTAATTGTTTAACCAGTTGGTTATATATTAAATATTTTTTCTATTTGAGTATTTAATTGAATTAGTGCTAATAGGTGGTCTGTATTCATACACTTAAATTAAAAAATGTAAAATAATAATAAAATTATTTAAAAGAGCAACACGCAAGTTTCTTGCTCGTTCTACTTGTGATATGATAGCTTTCCGAATGACCGGTAGATTAAAAAAATGTGATGACTATTTAAATGTGCTTCAATGTAAGTTTATTTGAATAAATTATTTTCTATTCTAGTCTATTCTATTTCTTAAGGATGTTATTTAGAATTGTGAATTATACCCGATTAAAATGTATAGTTTTGCAGTTAAATACGGAGCATAACAGTTACAATTGAACTCCATACAATTTGTCTCTCTTTCAAGTATGTAGTTCATACAAAATAGAAAATCTAACAATTTCCTCAGGGCGTGTCCTTTCCCCAATATTGTACTTACTGTACACTAACGATATATAAGTATACATATATATATACATTGTTAACGTAAAAGTAGAAAAATCACTATTAGCAGACGACAAGGCTTCAAAAAGCTGTTTTCATGCTGAGTGAGTGGTTCCGTCTGTAGCGTGTAAGTAAATGCCGCAAAATGAACACTTGTGCACACGTGAACATGACACTATTGCTCAATGGATCCAACTTTTCGCTCAAAACATCCCATGAGTTTCTCGAACGAAATAACTCGGTGTTACGCTAAATACGAAACTAACGTTTGGTCCTCACATCAAACGAGTCTGTTTACTCCTTACTTAACAAGCATAGTAAAATGTCACTTAATAACGGGAGCTGACCTCCCTACGAGTCCGTTCCATACCACACACACACGACACTGTCCTCGCCAGCGAAGACAACGAAAAAAAACGATATATTCCGAACTCTATGCCTCATCCACTACTATTTTATATGCTTTGGCTATAAGGTGTAAACCCAGATAAACCATAAATAATATAATTGTTTTCTTTCATCAACTTTATTGACATTAAATAAATTGACAACTTTGACAATTCAATTTCTCCTAGATGAAATATAAGAATTTTCATTAATATTTATTTTTTAAATTACTTTATCTTTGTAGAATGAATAATGCACCGCAATTTTCTTTGCGTTGGAATAATTACGTTACGCACGTTACAGAAGCATTTAATGTTTTACGATTTGAGAACGATTTGGTGGATGTCACCCTGTGTTGTGACGGTGGCAAAATAAAAGCCCATAAAATGTTATTATCTGCTTGTAGCAGCTATTTTAAGCAAATTTTTAAAGAAAATCCTTGCCAGCACCCTGTGATAATATTTAGAAACTTTAAATTTGAAGACCTAAATGCTATCGTCAACTTTATGTATCATGGTGAAGTGAATATTTTTCAAGAGCAATTGGAGTCGTTCCTTATCACGGCAGAGCTTTTAGAAGTAAAAGGATTGACCGATAATATCGAGGATGAATCGCCAAAAAGCCAATTGAAAATGAATGACAACATTTCATTAGATTTAAGTTCAAAGTCGACCCGTTTTTCTGAAGATATTGTGCCAGTATTATTGGATGAGCCGATAAATTTAGCTACAATGCAAAGCGATAGAGCCAGAGAAGAATACATTCCACAAAATAATTCGCTGACAAGTCTTCCTGATCAAGAGAATGAACATTCAGAATCACGACCTAGTATTGCAAAATTGGATGAGAGTTCGAGCACAAGACCCAAAACAGCAATTACAAATGAAGACATGCAAGTTGATCAATCAACGTCAGCAGAAGATATTTTAGAGAAGAGCACTTCTGGTATGTATTAAGGTAACCTTTGTACAAAGTGGTTTGTATAGAGATACAGATAGGTAGAGCTGACCGAGATAGGTAAGACAGAGGTCTTACCTATCTCGGTCAGCTCCTTTGTAACTTGGTTTTCCATTAGAGTGTGGGATATGACTGTGAAATTTCAGGATATGGAGGCATGATAATGTAGTTCACCAGAATGCACCACATGGGAGGTACTACAGGTGTACATGATGATATGAGGTGATGTTTATGTATATAGGTTATGGTTACAAATTGCAAATAAACTACAGACACCCAATTTAAAAGAAGAAAATCATATTAGTTTAGCGGTTTACAAATTAAGTAAATATACACATAGAAAAATTGTATGCATATCTCTTTTAAATCTACAATATCTCTCCTAAATCTTTAATTTCTACAAACAACAACCCATGTTAATAATATAAAAAACTCAAAATGCGAATTGTTTTCAGAATCCGACTTGGCGAAATTTCGTTGTCAACTATGTCCAAAAGGTTTTAAGCATCCAACATCATTGACTCTACATAAGGACTCTCATGCTGGGAAAACACAATGTCCTGTCTGTCACCGTTCATTCTCGCGATCATATGACATGAGGAGTCATTTACAAAGGATACACCAAGGGAAACAGTTGACAATAAAGGAAATAAGATATAAAAATAGCAGTGACAATGTTGGGCCCAAGCAGTTCACTCATAACATATAGTCCTAAGAATATGGTAACTACCTGTAGTTATCACAAATTAAAGCACCTGGTGCATAATATCTGTATAATTTAGAGTATATTCATAAATTATGTCACATGATTTTTGATCCTCTCTTCATCCTTGTCAAAACTGTCCACATTTCAGAAATTCCTCAGCTCCAACTGTTTTGAACTAGTTTGTTCCTCTCATCCTATGTTACACAATGCCGCTCCTTCAGTCCTCTTAACATATTACCTAATTTATGTATATACCCTATGAAAATGTTTATGTGTATAAATAAAGTGAAGGATATTATAGCAGTTTTATGATGTTCATAATGAAGTATATTTTATTTAATATTTATATTAAGTCACAAAAAAATTGCTCAGTGCTGTAGCTTTGGCTATTTTTATACTAGTCTACTACAATATTATTGTTTAATATAATTGTTTCTATTATTTTTTGTTTTATTTATTAGTAATAATTAGTAACATACATTATGCAAAGGGATCTGGATTGTTATAGTGCTAATGTGGATTAATAACCCCATCTCAAGCAATGAACCATGGTTTCCATGTGGAGGTCAACATAACATAGTTCCTGAAGATAGTGTGATATATTCCTGATAAATTTACCATAATGGCCTAACTAACCTGACCTCATGCTCATCTTATCATTCTCCACTGGTGCCCCGCCAGCGTAAACCGTTAGCGTATAGTGCGTAAACCATTCTATTATCAGATATAAAAATACATTCACATTAGATAAATCGATAACAAATCCTTGGCTGTACACACTTCTATTATATTCATACACTGTTTATACCAAAATGTCAGTGAAGGTGGAAAAATTAGGATTAAACCTAATATGATGATGATATGAGGACAAATGGAAGAGAAAAACATATTACGCCGAACCCAAAGGAATGGGGTAAGGACCACTCAGATGATGACATACGTAACTAAGTTTATGGGATCACTCCGCTTGGTACTATTTGCATAATGTATAGTTTCCGGCTCGAAGGACTAACACGCATTGCATTTCAATTTGGTTTGCATTGAAATAAGTAGTAAGACTTCTAAAACTTTACTAATGTGTTGTCAACATACTTATATCGCAGCGATGGAATGGTTAAAAAGTAATTGAATGTACGTATTTAAAAATAAGGAACATATTTTGACCCGGGATATGGACTGAAAAATACTTGTTACGATAATACTACCGTAAATATATTTATTATTTTTCTATTACAGAAAAATATTAGTCAAAGTTTATTATTATGGAAGCAAACCAAAATATGTATAATAAAAGTTCGTAAAAATAAAACAAAAGAATACTTATTTCATTGACTTCTTGGTAGGTAGGTTATTGGTATATACTTGTTCATAATCGCGTTTATATTACAAGACATCTATGTACCACACACTAGTGAAAAGGATATTCCTGTTTGCCAGAAATATCTTTTCACTAAAGGTATTTCTGGCAAACAGGAATATCCTTTTCCTTGACCTTTCCGGCGAAACTTTAAAATGTCTATTTATGACTACAAAGTGGCAGTTTGTATAAATAATTTTGTCAAATAGGTACCCATATTTTAATTAATAATAGGTAAAAACATATAAAGAGACAATTTTAATAAAAAAATATTGTTTATCTATGTTTGTAATCTGTAACGAATGTATCAATATATAAACAGTTATGATGTTTTAAAATTGTTACAAACACTTCAGTGTATATACCATGGTATTATCATAGAATAAACCATAAGATAATATTTTTTCAATCGTATTTGTATATAAAGCTTCAAGATAAATTTTGCACAAATGGATACCAAGTATTTACCTAATGTCCATTTATACAGATTATATACTTTAGGAATTTATAAAAAAAAGAGCGATTACAGGCGTGAGAAAATTATCACGATTACTGACTAAGAAAATACCATACATTGCAGTAGTATTAAATAAAATTGATAGTAAATGTAAAGTGGGGAAGATATTGTTTACTCCTATATAATAATAACGAAAACAAATACAGTGGGTTTAAGAACCTCCTATTTGAAGTCGGTTAAAATATCTAGCGCCTATTCAATCTACTGCAGAAAGAAAAGGGGAGTGCATGCAGCTTTGCAGGGGTAGTGTCGAAGCTCTGTAAGTAGGTATGTAGCCGGGACAGGGGTGACTACGAGGGCGGTGGCGGCGGGGGCAGCAGAACGGAGTGTGTTCGTTCGATACGATACGCGCGACGCGCGCGCGCCCGTTTACAACCAGTCGTATTCAGACGTCGCGGTAGATGGACTGTACGATATTTGTCGGCGCGCATCTGTCAAACGCTTCGATATCGATATAAAACGAATTCATTACTATAAAGTACGTATTCATTTGGAAACCGATTAGGAATGTTATAAACAATGTTACATCCTTATAAAAATAAAACTCGGAAAGTTCTTATCAATTGTTTAAATCTATGTATTTTGTTTACATTCGAATCACATGTTTACCGCTTAGTTTGGATGACAAAATTATCAGTCAATTGTTAATTGGAAATCAACAAATTTAAATTATCTTTGTGAATGTAGTGAGAATATGCGGATTTTATCAACTATAAATTCTTGTTTTGATTGTCGCCTATAAAATTCTGTGTTATATTTAGCCAAATCAGATTAGATGTCTCGTGAATTTGTGAGAAGTGTGATATTGTGAACGGTAATTCAGAAATAGTGCAAGCTTTTATTCAGTAAAATAAGAGTGTGAATATTTCATGGTGTGTCGTGAGCGGTTGTGTATATAGAGTTGAAATTAGCTCAGCGGGTGGACAGCGCGCGGCGGCGCACGGGGGTATTGATCGGCGGTGCGTCGAGCCGCGAGACGCCGGCGTCGCCGCCTGCCGCCTAAATAAAGCTCCCCATGTGTGCGCTCTGCGCTCGCCGCCCTACGCCGATCCATCCCGCCGTCGCCGCCACCGCCGCCACCGCCATCGAAGACGCTTTCGTCCTCCTCCCGTCACATCACACATGATTGCGATGTTGCTATTTACTATGCACCGCTATCTTTGATCGTTCTCAATCAAAGCTTTGACCCAGTTATTTCTCTGTGATATTTGACCAATATTTTCTGGTACTAACCTAGTGATGGTATTGAAAACCCAAGGATGACACCATAGAAGATTTAGCAGAGACCTACATATATATCTAATGGTCTATCTATCTAATGGAATAATTTATACATATGTTATTAACACAGTAAATAGCATGTTTACATAACATATTATATATACACAGAAATCTTGTGAAGAAATTGTGGTGCAGCTACGATATCATCTTTATCAGACAGATAAAAACATATTACAACCCATTTTCTGTGTGAGAATAATAGGTTATATTTAGCTAAAAAGTATTCTGTAATTCATTAATTGAGGTGTTGCGACATATTCTGTTCACTGCATACTAGAGATCTATTTATTAATATTAGGTAATTAAAAATATCTTTAAATTTTGTCATCTGAACTAAGTTGATTGGCGTGTTGACATTTGACCTTTATGTAGTTAGATACTAGGACATAAATAAATAAATCGTTTATTTTGTAGGTATGATATCTTACGTTAAGTGAGGTCCAACTAAGAGTGATGGCACGCACAGTGCTAGCGGGCGGAGCTCTGCTCTGCGCCCTGAGCGTGGTCTTGCAGACGCGCGCGCTCACCCTGCTGCCACACGACGTTCGTCCCGGCCACGCGGTTCGACATTTCGTCGGGAATCATTCTCGTTATACATTACTTGATCCACAATATGCCTCCTACTTTGCTCTACTAGATGATGGGCTACTAATGACTACTGCTGATCTCTCACCACTTTTAGATCAACCACTGAATCTTGCCGTATTGGAACAAACTCCATACAGCAGCTCGGCTCACTCTATCCATCTCCTGGTAATGGATCGTCGGCGAATGATTCATTTTCCCACAACTGATGGTTTACAGGGAGATATTCCTGAAAATGCCCCAGCCGGGACTGTTGTCGATTTACCAGCTATACGAGCCACAGCTCTTCTTACTGTTGGTCCAATAGCTTATAAAATTATTAAAGGCAACGATGAATCAGTCTTTTCTCTACGCGAGAAAACTAAACATGTATCTATTCCCTCAGTAAGATCAGTTATTACAGAAGGAGATGTAGAAATAATTGCTACACGTCCTTTAGACGCTGAGACAAAACGATCTTATAATCTGGTTGTTCAAGCCACGGACATTCACGGAGCTAACAAGGCAAATCTTCCTATTCGAATAGAAGTGACAAATGAAAATGATCATGAACCAATTTTTGAGCAGAGTATATATTATTTTGCTGTAAATGGTACTCCGGATGAAAATGGACCCAATGGAACAACACGCTGGCAAAGATTTTCAAGTATTGGCAAGGTTCATGCATTTGATGCAGATGGTGATCGTGTTTACTATTCTCTGAAGAATCCTAGTAATCTTGTAGTTATAGTGCCTCAAACTGGGGCACTGATATTAGTAGGTGAACCTGACAGTCATGAAGCAGAATTGCGAATACTTGCTCATGATACAGGCTCCCCGCCGCGTACAAGCCGACCTGCGCGTGTGTTTCTTGAGTTCGTTGTCCGTGATCGAAGAGGCCTTCCTATGCTTCATCGCGAGAAGCGTCGTGTGACTCGTGCAGTTCGACCCACAAAGCGTATAGAGTTTACTGAAGCTGATGGCGAGGTGGAAGGCCGTGCAGTGTTTACGTTGGAAAAGGAAACTGATCGTGAGACTTTTAAAATACGGGACGAGAATCCGTGGGTTACCGTTGAGCCTAGTGGTGTTGTGAAAGTTAAAAAGAAGTGGGACTATGAGGAGTTAGGACCTGAGAAGACCATCGACTTTTGGGTTACAATTACCAATGCTGGAAACGGAGGTAAGTCCACTACAAATTATTTACATGAATTTTGTTTTTTAATAAATGTTATAATAAGCTAAAAGTCCTATTACAAAATTCCTATAATATCCAAAAACATCTTCATAGATCTTCACCTACCTACCTAAATGTATAAGTACTTAATATCTTATTTCTAAGAATTGTAGGTACTTATATGTATATTAATATAAAAAAATTTCAAATATTTTCTCAAAGATGTCGTTACTGCTTCTATTTTAGATAATTGAAATCATACTAAAAAATATGTATGACTAAACAAATCTAAATACATTGTTACAATAGTTTTTAGATTCGATCATACAATGTCAATTTATGAATTATAGTTAACTAAAAGACATTACGTATCTACCATATAAACATCAACATATCTAAAAAACTTAACAATAAGATGCCGCGACCGGCGACCCAATGCGCAGCAAATCGTCCCAAGTTACATTATTTTTACGTTTTTTTGCCCCTACGCTGTGCTTAGTTTTTGTCGATGTGTATTAAGTCATAATCTACTAACGTCTCAATCGAGGGTGGATTGGGATAATGACAGGGAGAGAATAGGCCGAATACACATTGTTTTTAACTTTGTACTGTGATGCGTCCAGCTGCGTTGAGAATAACTTATTTGATAGGTATTTATAAATTCGTAGTTTTATCAGATTTTATAGATAACAATTTAGAATTTCTGAAATATTACACTGATATTAATAACTTCAATTTAATTACTGAAAATTTAGTTTCAGTCACTTTAGGAAGTTTGGTTTTGTTAGAGCTTAGATTAATAAGGAATTTGTGAAGATATCTATGATATAAATATCAAACAATAGTCTGTTCAAATATAATGTAACGAAATTTTAAATTATGCCAATAACTATTTAATTGCAAAACTAATAAAATCTGTTGCATTTCTAGAGACGATGTAACATAAAACTAGAGAGTCATTGCTATGAATCCTCTCAGTATGTACAGATATTTTGACTCCTGCGTTATTAATATATTATACGAAGCTTCATCAAAATTATGGGAGGTCGGATGTGTGAGAAGCGTGCATCCCTTTCGCGGTCGAAACTTTAATACCCGACACGCCGCGGGTCACGATACGACCAATTTATATAATTGCACTTTATCTAAGATGCTATAAATTTCTGGCTTACTATATTCCTTTACTCTATTAATCTATATGATTACGCGAACTTATAGGGTAAGCAAAGAGGTTCAAGTAGCATGTTTGTATCTTACATGTTAATACAGGTAAAAGTGGTATAAAATTAGGTACATGTATACTTATCTAAAATGAAAATATATCTTATATGGGAAGTACTTTAATTAATTTAAAGTTAATAACCAAAAATTAAAGATATAATTATCAAGTATAAAAATTTTCAAATGCTTAGATAAAAAAGTAACACAGTTTTTCACTGTGTAGGTACTGATTTTTCGCCTAATTTCTCCGAATGTAATAATAACAAATATCCACAATGTTTCTGAATGTGTAAATCATTAAATATCTAATAGGCGCTTTCCGATAGAGGTCCGTAGTTCATACACCTGTCGGATCGAATCGCGCAATAGACCATGACTGGATAGCGACAAGTCCCAAACGCTGCTGTCACGAGGATCGAACGAACATTCCCATCACGACCGCAACCAAATGATCTGATCTGATAGTTAGATGATAATTGTTATTTCTTCATATATCACTCAAATTACTGAGTTCTAATGGATCCCTTTATATTGTTTCTAGTGCGGCACAATCACATCTACGTACTGGTTTGTAAATTATTTTGCTACTTTTACAGCATTGAATAGAGAGTTAATGTGACAGAGCGCAGAAATGTTTATGTAATTGAAAGGGAAGAACAGAAGTGTATATTTAAAGGGATAAGACAAAATTTTACGGATAAGAAACAAACAAAACTAATTTTTAAAAGTAAAAATCAGGAGATCAAGGATATTGGAAATTGCATTAGGCATAACGAGCAGAAATACGGTTCACTTTGAGAGACGAAGGAAGAATTGGCAGCTTGTTACGGAAGTAAAAGCGCTAGGCACAGTCAAAGTCAAAGGAACAAGGGGAGGGGAATTGCATACGAAAAAAATCAGCATATATTATGGATATAACATATTAATCATGGAGCGTATAAAATTTTTGTACAAGCATAGGTGTCAAGATGATAAATTCATGGTTATACAATAAATAATTGTCATTTTGTTTGACTCCTAAAGTATATAATATAATATCGTAAAGTTAAATAACTTAAAAATCGAATTGAACCTTGGGCTGGAAAATATAGAAAGTATTTTTCTAATTCGATAGGTAACTTTATACATTAAATTATGATTACGTTATCAAAAGTGCATCGAAAGGCATCATTGCTGCAAGTGGCATTTCCACCAGTCACAATCATTGTAATAGTAGGCGACAGGTTGACACCGTGCAGAATGCGTTGATAATCGGGGACCTGTCGCACGGTCGCCTGGCCGCACGCTGCTATCCTGCCGCTTGACGCTTCATCTGATCACACGATGACAATTAGTAATACGACCGCTCCTTTACTATGTGGGTGTGGAATGCCATAGTTGTAGTTTTATAGCTTATTCAAAGCCGTATAGTCTTTCAATAGATAAATAACATAATAAAATGATTTTTTAACATTATACTATTTGATGGTTTTAGATTTCTGTCTATTTGTGCACGCTAACCTCTGAAATAGAAACCTATTCGCATGCCGTTTCAAGCATTTTCGTATTGCAAGCTTTTATCCGAATAGGTTTACAAAGAAATCTATTGCTACTTCGAATAACACGCGTATGAAGTCGTGGGCGTGGTTAAGTAGGTGTAGTTTATTTGCTACTGATTTTATAAATTTTTTTACTATATTACTACAATTGTACCACTGTCTGCGTTGTGGTCCTAATTGTCTTATTTAAAAACATAATCACTGGTTGTAAATAAAACGGTAGTATACATACGAGTATGTATGATGTAAGCACCTAATATTTGGACTTCTAGTACTCTTTCTACGTGAATCTCAAGCATCTTTTATAGAAACCAGTTTCTGAAAATAAATACGAGTAAGATAACAAAATTACCTACTACGAAAGCTATTGCAACCATTTATACCTACTGAATTAACAAGTGAAATCAAATGTTAAACAATAATAGATGCAGCCCAAATGCAGTAATCAACGAAAATTAAAGTTTTCGTTGTTGTTAACTACTAGTAAGTGTTCAGATATGAAAGGCGTTATCAATAAACAATTATTAAAAAGGAAACACAAATATTTCTAGTGCATCAGAAGAGTAAATCGTGGTTCGACTCTGTGTTATCGAGCGCGTGTATTATCAAAATAAATCGAAACTAGTGTTGTTTAATTACAACATTCTGGGTAGGCAGCGCCCGTGGTGGGTGGCCATACCCGAGCCCAAGGCACCGTTGAACGTCCCGCACCTCTCGGAAATCTAATCATTATCATTATTACGAGGATAGAGACATAGATAGGTAATAATGAACAAGCGAGTTCTTATAAGTTTTGTTTTGGATCGTCAGTTCTTTAGATACAAATATAAATATTTTGTTTACGTCATGTTACACTGATTATTACTGTTTACTGTAGCCCTTTAATATTATTAAGAAATGTTAAAAAGTAGAGAAGAAGGCGACTCTTACTACACTGAGCTGTAACAATTTTAAGCGTTGCACCGGGATTTTCGAGAGACGCTCGTCAAAGCACCTTTGTCTACTTGAAGGCGTGCTCTATTGGCAAATTAATTCCGTTCTGTTCTAGCAGCGTTGCTCTTTGAGCTACAAATACGGTGACAACACAAAAGCTTTATAGAGTGTTGTTGGGGAACTCATTCATCTGAGTATATAGTTGCTATATTATGCTTTGTTGCATTCATTGATAATCTAAATAATGATACATTTTTGTTTCTTTTGTGAGTACACATTACATTTAATGTACTAAATCCACAGAATTATTTACTTTACCTATAAGCAGTATTATCCAAAGTACAGGGTTATTTCTAGCTCATATATAAAGTATACAGATACGATCTGTATATACTTTTAAATATCAATACGATTGTTTTTATAATGTTACCATACCATAAATCAATGATACACCTTTTTGCAACGAAAGCATCAATTTTACGCACTAATAAATACATATTATGACTTTTTCACTACCGATATCACTATCTACTTACTCATTTTGGATAACTGTAGCTGATGGTAAAAAACTGTTGACTTGGATTGCAAAGGTAAAAACCTTTTTTACAGTTGTTTAAATGTTTTTTATTTCTGTTTGACTTTAATTCTGCTACGTGGTATACCGGTAGTCAGCTTGTCGTGGCATGTGGTCGTCCACTCACTTCTAAAGTAGGTATTATGGTCTATGATATAATTAAATTTCGTTTTGACAGGTGTGTATTTATGCAAATACGGCCTATTGGAATGCGTTATTTAGAGAAACAGATTCGATTAAGAACAGTTTTTCATCATATAGCATATGTTATCCTATAAAACTTTTCTGCAATAATTAGAATGTTTACAAGAATCAAAGTAAAATAAATTTATTGTTGTATATTGAATAAACAAAGCTCAGTCGAACTATTCGCAGTTTTTGGTTATCTAAGTCTGTTGAAAGTTTTCCGTGTGTGTTTTCTAAGAGATTGTCGGAAATTTAACTCGTTACACAAAGTTCTAGTGAATTCAAACTTTGGATACAATATCTGAAGTCTTATGAGCCGGATAGTTATATAATATGGTACTATATCGAATATTTGGAAGGTCACAATGTTCTTTCAACGCAAAAAAGCGTTATAGATGGAGTAATCACAATGAGTATATTATCATAATAGAAATATTTGTGAACACAATCGGACACTATTATTTTTATTGGATTACTTTGACTTGAGAATTGAATATGTTCTCAAAGCAATGTAATGTGGTTGTCTCACTTACGCAAAGAAATTGCTGCAGCTA